TGGTAGACCTTTGATGATGATTCAGATTAATGGGGTTTTGTGCACCTGTTTTATTGATACAGGCTCCGAGGTAACTCTAATCAAAGAGTCCATGAAAGAAAAGCTAAGTCTACGTTCATTTCTTCCTTCCTCCCGTACGTTACGAGGAGCCTCAGGCCACTCCTTTCGTACTTTGCAAAATGTAAACTTACTCTTTCGACTAAGCGAGGCGATCACCTGTAATCATACTGTTGACATAGTATCCCAGGATGTAACCTTTCCCGGAGATGTATTGCTTGGGATGGACTTCCTACGCCGGTTTAACTTTCGATTGGTGGCGTATCACTCTCCCATGCGGAATTATGTAACATTGAATGGTGTAAGATTTAAGTTAAGCTATAGTGATTGTCCATCATTGGCAATCAAGGTGTTGTCGATGCGTCGTATGCCAATGTCAGATGCTAGTTCTGATGGTACTACGCCTATACTTTGTCTGGAGACGGTTGTTTGCCCTCCGAAAACAGGGAAGTTCATTTCGGGACTCGTGTCAAACGAGGCAGGTACGATGGTTGCCATGGTAACAGGGTTGACCGCGCAGGTTCTGATACCGCGTAGTTTGGTTAACGTGAGCGGAGAAAGGGTTAAGATTTGGGTCGTGAACGACCGCAACAAGCCTGTCATTTTGCAGCAAGGGTCGCCAGTTGCACAGATGGAGTTAACTGATGAGATTTTCGAGTCCCACAAGAGTCTGTGCAATGATCGTTCTGATGGTTTATCTGCGCAGGGTAATCGTGTTAATTGTGTTAACGATTTTAATTGTTTTAGTAGTGTTGATGATTTTGATGAATTTTACTGTAGTGATGATTTTAATGGTTCTAATTTTGATTTTATTGATGGTGGTGGTTTTGATAATTGTTTTAATGATTTAGATGAAGTTTACTGTTTTGCAGGCTCTCCTCGTGAGGGAAGCACACCGTTTGAGGATTTTACCGACCACTTTGATAACCATTTCGGTGTTGCTGATTTTGGGTATGATG